TCTCCAACACATCTTAACATCTGAAGAACTTGAGAATCATTATCCAGCATATGTATGTCTTGTTAATTTAATATGAAATTACAAACTCTTGTTTTCTATAATCCTGCTTTGCTGCAAGAAGTTATTTTTGGCTAAAAAAAAAAAAAAATGACTAAGCTATGAGGCAGTGAGAGAACATGGTTGACGAAAAGTACTTGGTCTAGGACAAAGATTGAAATGTAAAATAACCTCAGATCTATTGATTGTCCTCAGCCAAACTCAAATACATAGACCTGATGTTCATTCAGGAGAGCTAACAGCAAATCCTGTTATCAGTAAACAGTTCCCACGTGACTGGCAGCATCAGTGACTGGTTAATGAGCTGTCTTTTCCCATAGCGTCTGGTCAGTAGCATTAGGTTCTCCAGGGAAGCAGAATTATGATTAGACTTGCGCCAGCTCCTAGGGCAGAAGCTTTTAGGGGATTCTATGAGGAGCAGGGTGACTTTGCTTGTTAAAAAGTTAAAAGACAAACAAACAAACTAAAAAGATATTTGTAACCACTAACTAGCCTAATAGTAGAAGCGTAATAAAACTTCGTTCGAGCATCCCTGAAATCATATCTGGCTGTCTTAAGAACAGAAACCTTACCAGGTTGTGTGAAGTACTCATGATGGCTTAAACCCATCTCACCCCAAGCGGAAAAGCTTGTGTTCGCCTCTTGCCTGACACAGACCAGCCCTGCTGATGGTGATGGTGTCCTGCCTTCCCAGTGTCTTTGTTTATCTGTAAAAGAAGAGTGTGAAACCGTGACCGAGAACTTGTCCAACGCCGTTGGCTTTTGCCTGGCTGTGATGAGGGCAAGTTCTTTCTATCAAGGAGAGGATCTATTAAGGGAGAGAAGTGTCCTGATTCTCTATAGAAGACGTAGGCCTAGAAAAAAACCGAATGGGCAAAGGTGAGCAGCCTGTGGAGTGCAGTCCTCTTTTGTTGTTCATAGCTTGTCTAAGTCAGGCGGCCTTGAAGGAAAGATGGAATGAGAACTAACATTTTTGGTAAAAAGTGTCTAAGAGGCAGTCTGGGCTTTGGTTGAGATTTCCAGAAGCATCTACAGCTGTGATGGTCCTAGTGAAACAGTCTAACACAGAAGTTAGCCATCCTGTGTAAGGTGACTCAGTTCTGAGTGGCAGCCAGAGCAATGGCACTAGTCTCTTTACTTGGGTTTCTGCTTCTGCTATACCTAGCTATGTGGAAGAGTGTGTGTGTGTGTGTGTGTGTGTGTGTGTGTGTGTGTGTGTGTGGTGTGCACATGCTTGCATGTATCTGTGTATGTGTATGTGGAGGGGGGGTCTGTGTGTCTGTGTGTGTGTGTCTGTCTGTTGGTGCTGGGTGTTGAACCTTGGACCATAAACAAGCAAGACAAACACTCTACCTCTGCACTGCCCCAGCTCCTTGTTGTTTTAACTTTGAGATAAGGTCTTGCCAAGTGCTAACACTGGTCTAGATCTCACGATTCTGCTGCCTTAGCCTCTCACAGAAGTAGCATTACAGACCTGCACCACCATGCCTACCCACACAATTCATTAATAACATAATTTGAAACACTTCACTCCATTTCACACTGGAAGCTCTTCAGCCAGATGACAGATGGTATTTTTAATGTCAAGAAATGGAGCAAAGCTCTGTGTCTTTAGCCTAAAGCAAGAGGGACAAAACTTGGAGGTGGAGTGTGGTGGCTGGGCATGCGCTTACTATCTGTAAGGCTCTGGTTAATCCAGAGGACCAGGCTACAAGTGGGGGCGGGAAGGGCAAGGGAAGAGGAAGACACAGATTTGTAAATGTCTTCTGACAAACCCTGTCTTCCCAAAAGCCCCCATTAGTGCTTTAAAGTTAACACCAAGGCAAGCTGGCCACTTCCTGTGTGTGCACACAGTGCGCCTTTGCTTTATGGAGCCCATCTCAACAGATCCCTAAAGGCACCCCAGTGAGATCCCTAAAAGAACCCCAGCGATATTGAAGAGGATGCTTAGAATACCGTTAGCCACCATGTTGTAGCAGATTTCTTCTGTGTGTTAATCCACTGGAGATGGGAAAGAAGGCTTTGCTCCATGGCTTTTCTCTGATGCACACATCAATCTCCATCTTCCTGCCTGGTGGCTTGGAAGATGCTCGAGGAGGAGAAAATGTCAATCAGTAATGCGCCCATCCAGAGATGACTTACGCACACTCTGATAACCTGGGTTCTGCACAAGTCATTTTAATAAGCGTGACACACAGTACAATGCTTTTTTTACACGTCATAATTGCAGAAGCAGTGGCTGTCACGATAGGAAATACAGAGCAGTAACAGCAACTACGACTGGCAGGGGAAGGCTTCCTGAGCCTTGACCACCTCCACCTCCAGCCTTGTTTACTAGAGGCTGCCTTGGAGCCTTGCTGGGTTGATTCCGGTTACCATTGTAACTTCTCAGATAGTTATAACTCTAAGCTTAAATTTATCGACTGGTTCTAGCAATGTCTGACCTCTTGCTACAAAATCTGAAGGGATCCTTTATGAATTTCTAACTTTTCTTCTCTCCTCTCGGTTTTGAAAACTTCTACCTTGACAGGGTCTCAGCATTTCTGTCGCTGTAATGATCCCTTGTGTAGAGGTGGGGTTTTTGGCTGGTGGGAGGGGCCTGAGATCAGGTCTCACTAAGTACCTACCACTTTTAGAGGCTAGTTTTAAGATACAAAGATATAAGCAGTTTATATTGTTGTAATGCAGTACATGCACCTTCATGTTAAAATTATATTATACACACATGTAGAGCAGAAATATAAATGAGCATGGATGTAAAATTCTAAGATACAAACTTTGTCTGTCGAAGGGAATCTTCTACGCATCCCAATCTAAAGTGCTTCTTATTTTTTTCTGGCCTTTTTATTCCTCTCAGTTGCTATGATTCCTTATTCTTTTTCTTAAATACTATTTTCTCTTTTCTTATCTGTCTCAAGTACTTTTCTTGTGTAAGCAACATAGTAGCCAATATTCCAAGTTCTAGAAAGTCTAAAATAGCCTAATTTTCCTTTACATCTATTTTGTAAGTTTTGATAAAATGAACATCCAGATTTGAAATCTCAAGGCATTGTCCCTGCTCTTCCAACATGGATTTCATAGTGGATGAAAGTCACAGTCTGTCTCTTCCCTTTGTTCCCAGTGAGATTTTTCTTTGAAATGTTTAGGATTTTCTTAAAATCCTGTCACAAGATTGCACCAAATGTAAACCAATCATAGTCAGTATTTAGTGGGACTGTCTGCTCAAAGCGAGCTTTCTCTTGCCCTAGAAAGCCCCCTTCACCTGGTGGCGTAGTTCCCTGTGTGTGCGCTCTGTGCTTGTCTACACACCCAGGCTTCAGGCCACCGTGTGGTCTTCTCACTCCTTGGCTTGTCTGTTTACATCCTTGGAGGTTTCTCTGGCTTCATCTTCCCGGTCAGCGTTGTGGTCTTCCACAGCATCTCATGTTTCTGTGATCTCGATTTTATTTTTCGTTTCCAGGGCTTTTGTGGTTTGCTGTTGTTTCTTTTTAAGGAACTTTGGTTTAAGTCTTTCTTCTCACTCTCACTTAGAACACCACAGGTATTAATGATCCTCAGGAAGTTGTATTAGTACCCATTTTTCCTATGATGTTTGTCAGCCCTTATTTCTCATTTCTCTTCAATGTGGATTCAGCCCATAAAAGTCTCACTATTTCACAATAGTAGCACAGTCTAGTGATGAAGCCCTCAACAGGTGGCCTTTGGGAAACATTTAAAATCCGAATTGTAACAGTAATCATTGCAAAATTGAGGTAAATAACAGCGTATGAACTTTGAAAACGTGGCTGGAGTGTTGCTCAGTTAGCAGCCTTTCAGATGATGTTTTCTGTGTATTGATTTTAAAATGGATAAAACTGACGGCACTTTGTTTTCCAATGCCACTCACTACTGTTACAACTGGAGCGGCACCCACCGTGGGCATCAGGGTTCATCTCCCTTGCGGTTGCCTGCTCCAGCCCTGCTGCCATGACTCAGTGTGCTCATGAATTTGTGCAGAGTACAGGCTCCACTGGAGTGCTGCTGCGGCAGGTCGGGTGTGAAGTGTGTGCCTGGTTTGTGAAGGGTGATGCAGAACCACGTTCATGTTGATAGGGGGGTTCGCAGAGACAGCAGTTACTAGCCTTCTGCGACGCCAGGTGTGAACTTCAAGCCTGAATTCTGGGCTTTCTAATTAGTTGCAAGCCCTTATTCTATTACCCAGTTACTCTTTCTCAGCTTTCAGGTTCCTTTTGTGACTAAATGTTTTCCCAAGTAAATGTGACAGAATGTTGGCTGCCACCAGTGCTCTGGAAGAAGTTTCAGGGACCTGTGGTTATGTGAGTTAAGGAAATACCTGTGCTGGAGCCTTTCCTGAGTCGTGCACAGTGCATAGCTGTATACTCAAAGCTCCAGGAGACTGCTTCATGGAAGGACAGACAGTCTTGAGAGTTTCGGACTCTGACATCTTGGAGATGTGTTTACTTGGGAACCTCTATGAGTTGCTCTCCAAGGCCCTTAAACATCCGTAAGTTAGTTCTAGGACAAAAGTTTCATTGTGTGGAAATGAATTATTTTGTATATAGTAATTGACTTTTTAATTACCCTGGATTTTGCATAAGAAAATGCTGGAAAACTTCCCAAATTGTACAAGTCCTACCGCTAATAGATTTTTAAGCGTAGTGACATAGAGAAGTGTTGTTTTGTCCTGGGAACACCAAGGTGTGGGTTTGGAATTTTGAGGACAAAAGCAGGTGAAACTGCCTACTTTTCCAGAGTTCTGTCTAGAATGTTCTTTCAGGGTTGAATTTGGTGGTGTTAGACATTCTTTGTATCCAATGTATGTTTTATTTAATATAATTTCAATTACTGTTACACACACACCATACATTTATTGTCCATAAAGCAATATTTGGCCTCCAAGGAAGTAGACTCGGGAAAATCACGTGTTCTGACCTTGCTTGTAGGATGGGTGCTGCAGACAATATATACCAAGGTCGGAGCACTTTCATGGAAGAACTCACGGACACAGCGGAAATCATCCGGAAAGCGACACCCCAGTCCCTGGTTATCCTGGACGAGCTGGGAAGAGGGACAAGCACCCACGATGGCATCGCCATCGCCTATGCTACGCTGGAGCATTTTATCAGAGACGTAAGCAGCCACCACACCTTGACAGTTTGGTTTTCTTTTTAAAAGATTTATTATGTATACAGTGTTCTGTCTGCAGGCCAGAAGAGGGCGCCAGATCTCATTACAGATGGTTGTGAGCCACCATGTGGTTGCTGGGAATTGAACTCAGGACCTCTGGAAGAGCAGCCAGTGGCTCTTAACCGCCGAGCCATCTCTCCAGCCCCCTTGACAGTTTCTATGAACTAATATTATTTTAAGTTGGCATGTTATAACAACATCCATTTAAATGTGAGATAATTGAACTAAGCTCCTTAATAAGTCTATCGCCTCACTTTCTGTGGTGAGACCTGAAATGTGTCCTCATGGTTACTGTATAACTCTGGTCGTAATGCCTTTATTAATACCTGCGTGCCCCTCCCCCTTGTGTATGTGTATGAGCAAGGAGTGTGCACATTTGTGGGGTGCACATGGGTACACATGCGTGTGGGAGCTGAGGTCAGCCTCGGGTGTTGTTCCACAAAAGCTGCCCACCTTGCGTTTTGAGACAGGCTCTCACCCGGGACCTAATAAGCCAGGCTTGCAAGCCAGAGCCCCAGAGAGCCTCCTGTTTCCGCCTCCCCAGGAATGAGAGGGCACGCTCTCACCCCACACCCAGCTTTGTACCGTGTGGCTCGCACCTCACTGCCTTCGTCACTGAATTAAATAGCCAGGAGAAGTTCTGGGGTTTTGTTCCAACGTTTATTTAGATAATACACATAATGTTAACATGGTTTCTTCCTTTAAAATGAGTACTTGTCATTTTTCTTTAAAAATCCTTGTTTGAGCTGGGTGGTGGTGGCGCATACCTTTAGTCCCAGCACTCGGGAGGCAGAGGCAGCCGGATCTCTGTGAGTTCGAGGCCAGCCTGGGCTACGGAGGGAGATCCAGGACAGGCTCCAAAGTTATACAGAGAATCCCTGTCTCGAAAAAAAAAAAAAAAAAAAAAAAAAAATCCTTATTTGAAAAAAGATGCATTTTGTTACATTTGGTAAAGTCCATTTGTACCACCAACACATTTTAACATCTGCTTAACCTTCAGGAGGAAGCTGGGACAGAACTGAGTCTGCCACCCCTGAGATCAAGTTCATAATTTCTGCTGTGTTAGACTGTGTCAATGTTAGGACTGCTAATAAATGAATGTCATTGTTCACCCAGGGTTCAGTAGTGGCATGGTGGCGGGGGGGCGGGGGGGAGGTTGATTCAGCCTTTGCTGTAGCTGCGGTGAGGCTGCCAGTGGGAGCAGCTGGCATCTGAAAGCTGGACAAGAACTGCAGGATCCCCAGTGATGTCCTGGCTCACACATAAGGTTCCCAGCTTGGTGCTGGTGGTTGCCTGGGCCTTCCATTCTTTCCCTGGGCCTACTGGGTGTCTTCGACAGATATACCCTCCAAGGAAGGCAGTCAAGAGACCCGGAGAGGACAGGAATGCTCACGGCCTGACCTCATGGTTGGGAAGAACTACCCTCTGACAGCATTGACTCTTCCTGAGCAGCAGCCTGGCCTGGCTGCTCTGTGGTTAGCGTCTCGTTGATGTCTTTCCTTAGAGTTACACAGTTCTTGTTGGGTGCATTCTAAAATATGCTTGTTACATTTATGCCCAAGTATTTAATTTGAGTAGTGCTTGTATAAGTGATGCTTAGTGTTTCTATTAATTTCAAATTCTACTTTTTAACTTCTGGTATATAGGAAAGCAGTTGACTTCTATGTTAACCACAGTGTTAATGCCATAAAAGACTAAAAAAAAAAAAGGATATTAAAACATATGAGTCGTATTCTATGATAATTAATTTCTTGTATATAAATTTTATTCTGGTCGTATAGGATTTTGTTCTTAGAATATAGATTCTTAAATATTTAGGGACACTATCTGCAACTCAATTCTCAAATGGTTAGAGCTAAAGATGTAGCTCAGTAGCAGAACACTCGCCTAGTGTGTGAAAGCCCTCTGGGTTCAGTCATCAGTACTGGAGGAGGGAAAGAAGACTCAGGAAAGCGTGTGCGTGTACATGTATGCGTGTGTGAGTGTGCTTGTGCGTGTGTGTTCATGTGTCTGTGTATGTGTGTACGTGTGTATGCATGTGTATATGTGTGTCTGTGTATGTGTGTGTATGTGTGTGTGTGCATGTGTGTGTGTGCATGTATGTGTGCGTGTGTGTGTGTGTGTGTGTGTGTGTGTGTGTGTGTCTGTCTGTCTGTCTATCTGTCTGTCTGCATGGAATGAAGGAAGGAAAGGAATGTGGCAGAGTATTAACTGGTTGTCTAAACCAAGAGTATATGGTGGTTTTTGTTCTTTTCTTGCAGCTTTTATGAAGATTTGGATTTTTAAAGTTGAGATGTTTTCATTAAAACAACACTATATGTCTTACTGTTTTAGGTGAAATCCTTAACCCTGTTCGTCACCCACTATCCACCAGTTTGTGAACTAGAAAAATGTTACCCGGAGCAGGTGGGGAATTACCACATGGGATTCTTGGTCAATGAGGATGAGAGCCAGCAGGAGTCAGGTAGGCAACCCCTTGCAGGAGCAACAAGGTGAATGAATAGTCCTGACATTCAGCTCGGTAACTCCAAGCTTATAGGAATATGAGCTCATTGCTTATTAATAATGCAAGCTGTGATCATCCATCCTAGAAAACATTTGGCAAATTCGTTTGCTGTAAGCCTTGAGTCACGAAGCATGTACATTTGTTTGTTTGCTGACTCAAAGTCCTTCTCTGTTCTTGCCTCATCTGTTTAAATGGCGACCCTTTTTCCCAAAGCAGAAGTTCCTCTTAGTCCCACACGTTTTTCCTCAGTTCTCATCCTAGGATAAGATAGTCGAGTGCAGAGGACTTTCAGTCACCTTTAAAATGTTCGCCACCTCCCCCAGATCATCTAACATACTTACTACAGGTCATGTCCTAGAGTGGAGCTGAGTTGTGTCTTAGTGTAATAAAAGTGAATCTCGGGAGAAGTAGCCTGCCCATGGCGGCCACGTTTTTGGTTTCTGGGTCCTGCTTCCCTAGCTTCTCCAGTACTGCTTCCGTCAGAGGACGAGATCCTTCCCTGAGAAAGAGCATCACTAGCCAACAGGGATAAATGCATGTGCCATAAGTAACCTAGTAAGCTTTAGAAGAACCCCCACCTCCCGCCCAGTAGTCGTTTTTTAAAGCTACCAGCCTGTGGTAGTTTGCACAGTTGGTATGCTGTAATGAAAAAATCCATTATCCAAGACACTCCAGAGTCCAAATTTAAGTTTGAAAAAGTAGTAAAGACAGAACTTAAAAAGAAACCAGGCAGATGGCCCAAATAAAACAAAGTACTGGACCTAAGATAAATGTAATGGTAAGCAATCCCTGAGCCCTGAAAAACACTTCATAAATTCTCTCACGAAGACGTCTTGCTTCTTATTAATCTGCATCCGGTGCCACAGAAAATGGCTTGCAAAACAAAGTCGAGTTCTTCAGCGGGGAGGGCCTGAGAGCTGCTTCTAAGGGCTTGCAACCTCCCTGCCAACCCAGCACAGAATCCTGTGCTCTGGAGCATCTGGCATTTTATTATATTGATTTTATCTGTGGCGATAATTCTTAGACTTGAACGCCGCTCACAAGCTTCCATCTCTTCACTCCAGGCCCTTCCTCATCCCGGGCACGAGACAGACTTGTACTGTGTCCTGTTTCCTCTCATGCTTCTGAATGATGTGCACAGTTCCCGTCCTTGGCACCTTCTATTAGCGGCCCTTCTGTCCATCCATCCGTGCCCCCCCCCCACCTGTCATCACCCTTCACAACTACTTCTGGGTGCTAAGAACCAAGTCGGCTTGATTTTTAGTTTTGCATTTTGTCATTCGCTGTGAGTCAGTAGCCGAGCCCCCTTGGCCCTCTGATAGCTCTGAAAAAGGCCTCTCTGAGCGTCGCCAGCGTCACGGAACCTGCTGTTCCCACTGGGGTCCTTCCTGCCGGAGCCCTTTGCCATTCTTCTCCTGGGAACTGGTTGCTGCCCAGGCCAGCTGCACGTCTGCTGTCCTGAGGCTGTCTTTGCGGTCCCCAGGAGTTCTTCTCCTTCCCTAAGTGTGTGATCTCCGCTAACAAAGCACTGGATCACTGGATCCACAGCGAGGCTGTCCAGTGTGACACCTCAGTGCGGCCCCAGCTCCTGCAGCTCTCCTGGCTGTCTCCCTGCCCTGCCGACCCCGTCGCAGGCCAGGGGGAAGATGGCTATAGGTCTTTCAGATATCACACACTGGATGCTTGACAGTGCCCAGCGCTAGAGGAGGAGCTAGCATTTAGGAGACTTTTCCATGTTTTTCTTGCCTCCCTTTTGGTGCTGGGTGTTGTTGAACCAGGCTGTGTTATGCTGAGCTTGCTCTCTGCCACTGACCTATGTCTCTGCTCCTTCTTGTAACTGTCTTAGGAGCAAGGCAACTTCTTTTCAGGTGCCTTCTAGCATCTCAGGGCCATTCCAATCTCATTGTCAGAATTGAATTGCCTCTAAATGAGAATGGCAGAAATAACTTTGTCTCAAAATTAATCAGGATCCACTTTTAGAACTGAGTGTGAGGAGATTGCCCTGATTAAATGGACAGGAAGTCAATTCCTTTTAATACAAAAGTTTCCTTAAAAATGCAATATATTTTGGGTAGACCAGTACTATCAATGAAACAACAAGGTAAACTGTTCAAGGCCTGCGTTTCAAGGGGTGTGCGGTAGCCGAAGTAATGGATCAGAAGCCAGGAGAGCAATTGTAAAGGCCTAGACAAAACTAGCTGTTGTATTGCATGCCTATACCCTGGTTCTTTGGAGGTGGAAGCATGAAGATCATTTAAGGTCATCCTTAGCTACTTGGTCAGTTCAAGGCCAGCTTGGACTACATGAGACCCTCTGTCAAGGGATAAGAAGACAATTGTCTCATTGTATCCATCTCTAAACTTGTATACAGCTATCAAAAGAGGCAAGTTCAGAAGTGACTTGATCAGGCCTGCTGCGTGAACTTGATGAACTCGGGGGATAAATGCCCTTGCTGCCAAGCTGATGCTGAGCTCATCTCCGAAACCCACACTGGGGAGGGAAGACCTGACTTCCCAAAGTTGTCCTCTGGCAAGCACACCCTCTGGGCCATGCATGCACTGTCCTCACAGCAAAAGGAATAAGTGTAAAGAAAGAAAAACAACTTGGAAATTATTTGATCAGAACACATCTCTTTAATATCATTCTCACTGAGAAGTTTGGCCTTAAAATAGGTTTTGCTAATTTTCTTTATAATAGAAACATGGATTATTATATTCATAGACTCTGACAGTGATTAGTTTTCAAAATATCCCTAAGAAAGAGGTGTAGCTTGCAAGAGAAGAACTCACTGAGAACCTTTGTGGTGAGGATCTAGAACAATGGGCTGTTTTTATTCCTGTCTCCTCCCACCTGCCTCCTTCTGCCTCCATATCTCCCTCATAGACATGCACACATGCATACCGCCCACCAAGAAGGTACAGGCTTGAGGCAAAATCTAACAACAAAAAGAGACCCCTGGGAAGAGTGATCATGTTCTTTACCTTGAAGGCATGAGAACAACCCTAAAGTGGAGACCACTTTAGGTTAGGTTCAGCCACTGTTTGTACTAACATATGATAATAATGTGTTCAAGGTTCAGGGTATTATAATACATTATGTAATTAAACTGTAGTGTATAGCTATATTATGCTTAAAAAGCATTGTAGAAAACATGCACAAAGAAGATATGGATGTATAGTCTCAGGTCCTGAGGAGGCTGAGGCACAGGATCACTTGAACCCAAAGTTTGTGGTGACCCAGGTAATACAGTGAAGCCTGTCTTAAAAAATAAAAAGGATAAACAGAACCATTGTTTCAGCCATCCCTACTGTTTATATATAGCATATACGTATCTGTATATCATATGTAGCTCCGACATATGCTATATATTATATGCAAAGGGAAAAAAATACCAACTCTTGGAAAATGTATCCACAAACCCATTTCTAAGAAAGGAGGGTTGCACTACATACCAGGCTGTCTTTGGAAAATGCTGGCCAGCAGCATGCTTGGACAGATGGGAGGACAGACAGATGAATGAATTTTGTCTTGCTCAAGAAAGACCAGCATGGAAGCTAGATTAGCCTGGAAAGAGCCAGGACTATTTTTTGTCTTAAGGTTTGCATTTTTGATGGCTACTGCTGTTCACTTGCCTCTTCATCTTGTGCTCATGGAAGAGAAACAAAAAGCTATTGGCGTTTGCAGACTCCGACCTTCCCTAATCCGCGCTCACCCACTCATCACCCTTCTTTGTGTCCCTCTTTCATTTGGAGGTAGAAGGTATTCTTAGTGCTTGGTAATAACGTCTGCGGCATTCTTCTCACCTCCTCCTTGTAGCAAACACCCCGAGAAAGCTATTCTTTTCTGCTACTGGATTCTCATCGGAGGTGAATTCTATTGTCTCCTTTTACTTTTGTGTTCGGTCTCTTGGCTTTTGTCGTCGGTAACTGATTATCAAAGCATACCCACTTGACAGAGAAGCCAAGGCTCTTGGTGAATTTACAGCATGTGCTAGGGTCACAGAAACCATGAAGATCTGGCCCATCTAGGACCAGATGTGACTCGATGGTGAGTTTTTGTTTTAAAGCTGTGGGGTCCTGTAGTGCTTTAGGTTCTGAAAGAGCTATGGAGCTCTGTATCTGAGCTTTCCTAGGTCTTTAAAGTTTCAAATTCGTGTGTGTGTGTGTGTGTGTGTGTGTGTGTGTGTGTGTGTGTGTGTGTGTAAGAGTTTGGAGGCTGGAATGGTCCTTCAGAATTACCTCAACTGGAAATTAAAGAGGGCGAGACCTCTATATCCTTTATTATTTATCACTGTTAGCTTACAGTAATTTCAAAAAAAAAAATGTTCAGCAGCTTGCTATCTCAATACATCAGCTTAAGATAAAACTTGTCTATCATTCCTGTGTGTCTGACACCTAGGGGAACTTGGCTGAGCACCTCTGAGAGCTTTGACTGGAAGGCAGTCAGTTCATGGGTCAGCCAGGCAAACCTGCTGCCCGACCCCTCCCACAGCTTTGTCCAGGCCTCAGGGTATGGCGTCAGCTTGGTGTTGGCAAGCCATAGTCCTTCACTGACTCTTGAGTGACAGGTTTCCATGTGGGCCTTTTCATGGGTCAGCCCACCACATGGCAGCTGGCTTTCCTCAGAGCAAGCAAGAAAGGAAGCGTGCCTAAGATGGAGGATGCAATGTTCTCCAGCCTGCCCTCTGCAGTGCCATATTTTGTCCATTAGAAGTGAGTCACTGGGTCCATCCCACACTCAAGAGGAGGTAATGACATGGGACATGAACACCAGCTAATGACTTCAGGCCAACAGCCTTCCCAACAGCTGTGAAAATGAGCCTTCATCCCGAGAGGCGCTGAGCAGCGGCACCTACTCCAGTGTGCACAGCTCCTCTACCCAGAACGTCCCTGCTACTTGAACCACGGGACACATCATGTCCTACTGCGCATGTGCCTGAACCGTTCTCCTTTAATACAGGAGCTCAGTTCAGATTTCATAGCCACCCATTATTCAAGACTACTTTAAGTGAGCCAAGCCCCCTAAATGCATAATCATTTTCATAACTTTATCTTTTTCCTAAATCAATCAGACAGGCTACAGGTGGCTGGGAACTGTGTTCAGGTTGGGAGCTTTGACAGAAGCCAGTTGTGGGAGCTTGTATCTTCTTTCGCCGTCCACTTGACCTGCCTGCCGGATGCAGTTTTGATCGTTCCTTTTCCTTCCTCTTCACCTGACAGGTGACTCGGAGCAGGTGCCAGACTCTGTCACATTCCTCTATCAGATAACCCGAGGAATTGCAGCGAGGAGTTACGGCCTGAATGTGGCGAAGCTAGCGGATGTGCCTGGAGAAATCTTGAAGAAAGCCGCTCAGAAGTCCAAAGAGCTGGAAGGCTTAGTCAACCTGAGAAGGTTGGAATGTCCTTGATTTGTTTTTTGTTTTGCTTCCTAGTGGCACCTTCTCAGCTGTCCAAGGAAGAGGGTGGTCGTGTAAATGACCATGGGCAGCTCTCTAGGGTTTGGAGTGAAGGACCACTGTAGATAGAGCCTCTTCGGCAGGCTTTCCTTATGGCCGGAGGCAAGCAGCTTTGGACGGAGCTCAGAAGAATTCAGCCTGTGTTTGTGTCGGGTCTTCATTAGGTGGCAAACAATCCTTTCTGGTCTTGTTTTTCCTACAGAATTATCTTGGTGTGAGCCAATACCTTAGCTGCCGAGGAACTGCAGTTATTTAAAAAGTTACTGAGGTTAGCATCAGCACTTGGGGCCCGCACAGGGCTTATCTTACTCACACAGTGCCTCTGCAGGAATAAACAGCTTTCAGAATTCAGAATTCTGTCATAGACTGATACAAGTGCCTCTGTGGGTAAAGGTTGCCACCAGACCTGACAGCCTGAATTTGATCCCTGGGACCCACATGGTGGAAAGAGAACCTCTCTCCCCACCTCAAGTTGTCCTCTAACCTCCCCGTGTACTCTGGGGCATGTCCCCACCCCCTAAGTAAACAAATGTAATGAAAGAAATTCAAAGAATTTTGTCAGGACATGGGGCGTGGTGACCTGCCTCAGCAGTTAAGAGTGCTTGTTGCTCTTCCAGGGACCCGAGTTCAGTCCCAGCACCTACATAAGATGCTCACAACTGTCTGTAACTCCAGTCTCAGGGGATCCAGTGCTTCTGGCCTCAGTGAGCACCTCCACAGGCATGGTGCATCTAAACACATGCAGACACACATCCACACATCTTTACATATAAATAAAAGTGAATAAATGAATCTGGCGGGGGCAGAATTCTGTCAGGATATGAGTGAAAATTGTAGTGTGTAGCCATGAGATCATATTATCTACATGCACTTATTTCTGTTTTGAGTATGACAGTTGTAATCTGGTTTCTCTCTCTGCACTCTCCTCACCTCCACGGTTTATGTGAATGCTTTCCACCCTTGATAGCTAGTCAGTGTGTAGCGTGTTCATAAGCTAATCTTAATTAATATACTCCTAGGGTATACCTGAGGGGAGAGACCATGAGGAAAGCATTCTGGGAACAAATGCAAGTCACAGCCTATTCTCTCTTAAACAGTTAGGGAACAGTTAGCTTGAGTTGGCACAGTCTTCTAGATCACTTCTGCAATGTCACACCAGAAGCAAGGGCCTATTTCTGTTATAAGACAAATTAATATAAAAAAATTTCCTGATAAGTTTATCAATGGGAGCTCAAAATCTAAACCTTAGCCTTCTGCAAAGTTCAAAGATAAACATAGTCTTTCTTATCATCCGATCATCTTTTCCTGGAAGAAATAAGAACAAACCTCTACCTCAAAAGATTATACCGGGTATGGTGGCACACCCATTTAACCCCAGCACTCTGGAGGCAGAGGCAGGTGGATCTCTGTGAGTTAAAGGCTAGCCTGGACTACATAGTGAGTTCCAGGCTAGTCAGGGCTATATAGTGAAACCCTGCCTCAAAGGACACATATACAAGCTGGCAATAAAATAGTTCATACTTGTTATTACTGTAGCCTCAAAAGCTAAATCAAGAAAATTAGAAAGTTCACAGATTATTATAGACATTCATTTTTCCAACTAATATGTGACATTTTTAAATCTACAGAGTTATCTTTATAAGGTGAGACATTACATTAAGATGGGATATTTCAGATCTGGAGAGAGGTGGTTCAGCACTGGCTGCTCTTTCAGAGGACCCAGGTTCGATTCCCAGCACCTACATGGCAGCTCACAACCATCTGTAACTCCAGTGCCAAGGGATCTGACCCTCTCTTCTGGCCTCTATGAACACTAACCATGCACATGGTACATAAACACACAAGCCAGCAAAACACTCATACATATAAAGTAAATACTTCCCCAATTTTTTGAAGATGGACTATTTTGTGGTTTGTCAGAATGCTGTACGCACTTTCCTTGTGGATTATAAACACTTTTCCATCAGTTCTTTTGGTCAGATCCAAAGAAAGCTGACTCTTGTGGGGTAGGTGTGGATGTGCTACAGTAGTTAAGGATTAATTGCATACTCACCACATACATACAGTGACCTGTAGCTTCCTGGGCACTGTGCCAACTGACTTACCCACATTGACACACCTAATCCTCATGACAGCCTTGTGTGCCGCGACCAGGTCTCAGCAAGGAGCTGACCCAGGACCACCAAGCTCATTAGACATGAGGCGGTAGTTGGAACTCTTACTCCAGCCCTGAGTAATCGCTAACTGGATTACCGCTCTGCTGCTCACTCGGTGGGCTGCTGCTGTTTGGACCTTTGGTTTCCCAGCTTTATGTGATTAAATTAGTTTCACTTTTTATCCTATTATAAATTTATATTTATATAAATATAAATAGGAATATTTTGTCTTTGGAGACCAGCCTCTAAGAAGTCGTAGGCCCCTCCCTGCAGGCAGGATTTTAGAAGGCAGCAGGAAGACAGTCATGGTGACCAATAACCTCGATCTTTGATGCCGCTGTAGCCCTGGAGTTGCGGACACTGTCATAGCGTCCTGTCCACAGAGCCCTTTCTGTCCCAACCGAGTAGGCTTTCTGTTGCTCCTGTGAGACACCCTCCCCCATGAATCCCACTCCCAACTAACTAATTCTTTATTTTTCTCCAGGAAAAGGCTCAAGTGCTTTGCAGATGTGTGGATGACACATGATGTGAAGGTCCTGCACACGTGGACAGAGGAGCTGGGGACAGAGGGCGTACAGACTTCTCTCCCACACTAAAATGAAAGAAAACTCCTTTTTTTTATTAAAGCAAAAATTGGAGAACTGAAGCTGCAAACAGTACGAAAGAACTTTCTGGTCACAGCTCATCTTTGTGACGTGAACACCTATGATGAGCATGGTCTTCCTGTTGAAACAAGTTTCTTCCTCTGTGAAGGGAGAGCTTTTCCAGCTCTCACCTTCCCACCTTTAGAAGAACCCACACTTTGGAATGTGAAAGCTTCACTGGGTAATCAGAAATTTTCCCGGGCAGCAAGCTCCGTGTAAAGACCTGAATCTCCTAAGGGAAGCCTGGAGCGGTAGCGCTCAGCGCTGCGCCGTTGCGGGAGCCGAACGCTTCTCCTTGCGTTCAGACAATTGGCAACGGAGTAATCTGATCGGAACCCACTTTTATGAGAACTACAGAATTGTATAATGCCAGCTGTTTGTTCACCACGGCCATGAACATTTTCATGAGAAGTAGAACCACGGAGCCAGAGCACAGGAAGGAAAAAGCCATATGAAATTTGAAGAGCTAAATGTTGTCATCATTTTAAACAGCTTGAAGGTTGTGGTGTAAATCATTCATTTCAATAAAAACTATGGAATGAATACTTGCTCAAAATTTGGTATTTGGCTTATTGAATTTTGATTTCCTGATACTAGACAGTTATCATGTTTTCCTTTTTCTTTTTCTTTCTATTTTTTTAAATTAAGAAAAATTTTTTCATTCATTTTACACACCAGTCAAAGATCCCCCCTTCCCATCTCCTGCCCCCCAGCCTCCCCTTCTAACCTACTCCCCACTCCCCCCTCCTCCACAAGAAGGCAAGGGACTCCCATGGGGAGGCACATCTAGTAGAGGCAGGTCCAAGCCCTTCCCCCTGCCTCAAGACTGCACAAGGTGTCCCATCATAGGCAGTGGGCTTCAAAAAGCCAGCTCACGCACCAGAGATGGAATCTGATCCTACCACCAGGGGGGTGGGGCAAGCAGATCAAGCTACACAACTGTCTCGCCATACAGAGGGCCCAGCCCAGTCCTATGCCGGCTCCACAGACATTGATCCAACTTTCATGAGTTCCCACTAGTTTGGTTTGGTCATCTCTGCAGGTTTCCCCATCATGATCCTGAAACACTTGCTCATAGACTCCCTCTTCTCTCTCTCTGACTGGACTCCTGGAGCTCAGCCTAGTGTTTGGCTGTGGATCTCTATTTCTGCTTCCATCTGTCATTGGAGAAAAGCTCTGTGATGACAGTTAGGGTATTCAGTGATCTGATCTCTGGGACAAGCCAGTTCAGTTCAGGCACCCTCTCCACTATTTCTAGGAGTCCAAGCTGGGGTCATCCTTGGGGATTCCTGGTAACTTCCCTAGCACCAGGTTTCTCTATCCCCATGATATCTCCCTCCATCATGGTATCTCTTTCATTGCTTTCCCACTCTATCCCTGTTCCAGCTCAGCCATCCCATTCCCTTATGTTCTCATCCCCCATCCCCTGCCCTCCATTGCCCACCCCTCATCTTTTTTTTTTTTTTCTGAGACAGGGTCTCACTATGTAGCTCTTGCTGACCTAGAATTCGCTAGGTAGACCAGGCTGACCCTGAATTCAGGAGACCCACCTGCCCCTGCCTCCTGAGCTCTAGGACTTAAAGACGTATGTGCCGCCACACCCAGCTGTTTTTATTTTCAACTGTGGAAGGTCCTTGGGATGCTGACCTCTCTGTTAACCAGGATGACACATGTGTCATCTTAGAGCTGAAACTTGAGGCTTCTTAGATTCACAGACACCCTACCTCCCTGCAAGTTTCAAGGGATGGACACCCAACTGTGTCCCTGGGTTTTTTACAGCACTTCCAATCTGGCTCCTCGTATCCGTGTGCTCTTTTTGTTTCTAAGTATGTCATCCTGCATAAGTGTTCTTTCTCTCCCCCTCATTCAGTATTCCTGCTCAGTTAAATTTCCTTTCCATAGTTGAGGGAGGTGGTTTAATTTCTGTTTCTAGACTGTTGCCTGCGGTGGCCACAACAGTGGTCCGTGGTGATGAAGAATGTGCTTGGTTGCTCAGTGCTACTGAATGGCCTCACCAACTGTTGTCTGCACACAGCACCACCTCGCCCACTGAGAGCGTGCAGATCGACGGACACTTTCCTCCTGAACTCGTACAGCTGTGGCTGTTGTCAGCTTCAGTGTGTCCTCATCACCCCAAGTGGGGTCCCACTGACAGTCACTCCCCAGAACCCCCCAGCACCTCTCATCCACATTCTGCCTCTGAAGATTTGCCTCTTCTGGGCACCTCATCTAAATGGCTTACACAACACACGCTCTTCTGGGTCTGTTATCTTTCGCTCAGACTGATGTTTTCAGACTCCATCCATGCCGTAGCACGGGCCAGTCAGCCATTCCTCCTCACTGAGGGAGCATGGATCATTCTGTTTCAAACCCATGTTTTATTTAACCCTTCAGTGGGTGGTGTACATTTCGATGATCCCATTCTGGCTGCTGGAATAGTTCTAGAAGCAGGCTTTGTATGTGGCAAAGAGTGGTGTAGTTCAGAATCCCCTGATTTATGAAGCGTTAGTCTCAACGGTTACAAGTGACTTGTACATTTACAACAATTTGTTCCATCTCTTCTCCGCTTTGATACTGAGGAGAAAACATGGCATACTGTAGATCCCAATAAATATCGTTAAAGTAGAAAAAAATATAAAAAAGTTTCAGGTCAGAAACTCAATATGAATGCTCCTTGTCATCAAGGTAGAAACTCCCTGATGTCTTGAGATCCTTACAGACGTGAGACATATTTTAAGATAAGACAAAGTGTTTCCATCTGACAGTTTGTCCAGGTTGGAGCCTGTCATGGAGGGTGGGGCTGGTACAACACTGCCTACTATGGGAATTCCTGAGAGAGACTAGATCGAATCCAATACAGCCTGCCAATTAATGCTGACCTTTGATGAGTCCCAGGATCAATTGTAATTACTGCTGTGCCATGTAATTATAAAAATGCTGCTTGGTGCTTCTCACGGGGGGCATGGAGTGTCTTAGCGCCATCCGTGGTCCCTCTCTGGACCACTGTTGCTCATGCTTATGAGGACTGCTAGCTTTATTGCCCCAGGGAAGTGGGAGGGATAGGACTTAAATGACCACTCTGGCTTGCCTGAGACATACTGGCGTCCACCTGCTTGGCTGTCACATTTATTAAAAGCCTCCCTAATTCAGAACTGCTCCGTTTGGAATCGCAAATTGTAAGGTTGCCCCAGTTACAGTTGGTGACAAATTTCAAATGTTGTCTTTAAAAGTCCATTTTTCCCTTACTCATTGGGTGAACTCAGGTTCCTCATGAAAGCTTGCCAGTTGCTTTGGCCCATTCTGCAGAGGATTGTGGCACTTAGAAACTGTGTGGCTCTTGGAAACTGTGTGTCTCTTAGAAACTGTGTGGCTCTTAGAAACTGTGTGTCTCTTAGAAACTGTGTGGCTCTTAGAAACTGTGTGGTTCTTAGAAACTGTGTGGCTCTTAGAAACTGTGTGGCTCTTGGAAACTGTGTAGCACTTAGAAACTGTGTGGTTCTTGGAAACTGTGTGGCTCTTAGAAACCGTGTGGCTCTTAGAAACTGTTGTGGCTCTTGGAAACTGTGTGGCTCTTAGAAAATGTGTGGTTCTTAGAAACTGCAGCTTTGCTCATTGCTGTTGGGCCTCACTACCTAATCCATCTTTAAAGCTAAATCCCAAAGATGACTTGTCACCTACCCTGTTCCCGTGAAATCATGGTGAACAATACGCACCTACTTGATGTCGTGAGACACACAGCGAAGTTGTCTTCAGGCAGAAATAGTTCAGCTTGGGAGAGAGAATTCTTTTCTCTGGTGGTTTAGTCTTTATTCTAATGCTTTGCTCCTCTTCATTGCCTTTGGAGATTTCATTCCCCCCCCCCTCTCTCTCTAATATGCACATGTCTCTCTCTCTCTCCCCCTTCCCCTCCCTCCTTTTACATTCACAAGATCTATTTTATTAATAATTTTCTCCCAGGCAGTTTCGTGTATGTGTAGATCACGCATTCTAGTTTCTCTCACCCGCCTCCTCTCATCTCCCTCCCTTCCCAGTCAAAGCCCACTTCTCACTTTGCTACATTAATGTCTTTTAGTTTTGTGTTGTAACCACTGAGCTTTTTAACACACACACACACACACACACACACACACACACACACACACACACACACACTATATTTTGATCATTTCTCCCTCCCCCATTCTTCCCAGATCCTCCCTACCTCCACAACTTCGTTTTTTCTCTCTTTAAAACAAAACAAAATAACAAGCACACACACACAAATAGAAATTATGATAAACAAACAAAAGACCAATAAGACCCTCCCCCGTCCAAAAAAAAAAAAAAAACAAAGCCCAAACAAAGCAAAACTAGACAGTGTACAGAAACACCATGGGTTCATTTTCTGTTGTCTAATTACTCCTGAGCATGAGCCTGCCCTGAAGGGTGCTTAGAGTGAGACTCCCCATCCGGCTTGAACCTGTCCAGATCTTGTGTGTGCTGCCACAGTCTCCGTGTGCATCACTCCTGTCGTGTCTGTAAGACTTTCCTGGACATCATCCACCACCTCTGGCTCTTACAGTCTTTCTGCCTCTTCTTCTGGAGAGCTCCCTGAGCCCTGAGGGGAGGAGTTGGTAGAAGACAGCCCACTAAGGACTGAGTGCTCCAACGTTTCTCCCTCTCTGCACATTGTCCCATCATGGGTCTCTGGTGAGTTCCCGTCTACTACAAGAAGACACTTTTCTGCTGAAGACTGAGTGAGGCACTGATCGGTGACCCACTGAGTTTACTAGGGTCTTCTGTGTGACCACGGGGCTACACTGGAGCTTGATGGGATTACCAGTAAACACACAGCTAAAGACAACGACTCCATCTCTCCCAGCATCTGTCAGTAGCTGAGGACTCAGCAGGGAGAGCTAGGACCCTACGAGACCTTACTCTACCTGTGACTGGCGGTTCACAGGGCCAGTCTTGTGCAAGTGAATGTAACTACTGTGAACTGATGACTGCAATCACTGAGTCTGGTCCAGAAGATGGCATTCGACAGGCCTTCTCCTTCTCTTTCAGCTCATATGCTCCTTCTGCCCATCCTCTGTAATGTTTCTGGAGAGTATCTGGAGTATTGTGTGTGATCTTTATTTCTTTCTCAACACCCCTTCTCCATCTTACTTCATGATGCCCCCATGGGCTGTAGGGATTACTACCTTCTGTCAGAGTTAGTTGAGAAGATTTAAATGCAGTCGAATACCACCCTGACTGGATCTGAATGTTTGAGGTTGGGAGACAGCATCTATTTTTTATCATCATCTATCTCTTTATCAGCATCTGTCTTGATCATCAGCATCTATCTTGATCAGCATCAGTTTGATCAGCATCCCTCTTGATCAGCATCTATCATATTTATCAGCATCCATCTTTATCAGCATCCCTCTTTATCACTTTTTTCTTTCTCCTTTCTTTTTCTCACTTCTCCCTTCATAGTCCATGATCTAGTCTGCAAGAAAATGTGTGCATTTCCCTCCTCTACCCCTCCCCAAGATTCTGCCTCAATAGGTCTTGTGTGGAA